ATTTCTTGTAAATTGTCGTCTTCATTTCATTAAAGCTATATCGCGGGCTCATGCGAAATACTTTTGTATCTCCTTCAAAAACTTGCCCATTAGGATCAAAATATTTTCTCCCATTGTAATAGACTAATGCAATTAATGAATCATTGTTATCACTCATTTTGAAAAAAATTGGGTGAAAAAAAAATACAACAGAAATTAATTGAAAAGAGAAACGAATCCACACTAATGCATGAAACAAGAGCGGAAATGGTGTATTTATTAAGCTAAAAATGCTAGACTGCTAGGCTAGTTAAGATCTGACACACACATAACATGTTATGCTGAATAGCATGTTTGCCACTTGTCAAAAAAGGTTCCTTGTAAAATGCTATGCTGCATAGTGAGTTTTACATGTGTCAAAAAAATGACACGTAAAATGCTATGATGCATTTCGAGTTTGACACGTGTCAAAAAAGGTGACACGTAAAATGCTATCCTGCATAGCGAGTTTGACATGTGTCAAAAAAGGTGACATGTAAAATGCTATGCTGCATAGCGAGTTTTACACGTCAGAAAAATATTGACACCTAAGATGCCATACTGCCTAGCATTTTAGGCCATGTGGCAAACTCTTGCAGAAGCTGTCTGCCACGTAATCTCGCCGCACAGCGCGACGACTTACGTGGCCATGGACCTACTGCCACGTGTGCACACCTAATTCACCAGGTGTTGTAGTGAGTTAGGTGATGTGACATTTTGGAAAAAAAAATTCAAACCGCGGCATCCAGGTAATTTTTTGTGAAGAGAGTGGCACTTTGGCCGTTGTCCCCACTACTCTAGAATATGAGCACTGTCTAGTTGTTACTTTCTTTCCCTCTACAACTTCACTTTCTATAAACTTAACAACATAATTTAAACTTTTCATTTGCAAAAAAGAAAATTAGTATTTCTCGTGTTATAGGTCACGTGGAAAGAAGAGAAAGAAAAAGAAATATAAGGGCCTATTTAATTACTGTTTTGTAAAACATTTTTTTGTTTTTAAAAATAAAATAAAAAGAGTTTTGTAAATTTACCAGATAATAGTAACTCAGTTGGCACTAGGAAACTGAGCAAGTGGAGGTGAGAGCATGTGTTTGATCCTCCTCAATATTATCTTTGGGAGGAGTTTAAAACCTTGATCCCGGGACCCGTCCCGAATTGGTCTAGTCTTAAAGCGATGAATCGATTGAAATATCTCAAAAAAAGAGTTTTGTAAAATTGATTTTGAAAACAATTCTTTTTTGCTTGTTTTTAGAACTGAAAAACCAGAAAAGCCCAGTCTTATTTTTATTCTTGTTTCTATTTTTTTTTTGGTTTGATAACTGTTTTTTTTTTAAATTTTATTTTCAGAACAAAAAAAAAACCTCGTTCGGTAAGATCTGTTTTGTAATTTTTTTTTAAAAACTATAACGACATTTTTCATTTTATTTTTATAATCAAATTTAGAGAACATGTGTAACACCCCAAATTCTAACAATTTATAATAGCATAAATAAATTCAATAATTTTATAAATAACAGCGGAAGTTCAAAATAATCGAATTTGGGAAGTGTTACCGCCGCACCTGTACAGGGACAAGTGCAAGGCTAACTCTATTACATTCAAATAAAAATCTAAGACTACAGTTTTTTTTTTATACATAATATTTATTACAGCTAGAAATCCTGAGTCGTATCCTCACTGCCCACTGCTAGCCCCATCCTTTCAACCTGATTTACTGAAAATCTGCTCCCCCGCAGCCGCAGGATCATTGCAGTCAACAAACACAAAAGTCAGCAAAGCTGGTAATCCCAATCAAGATACAAAACCAGGATAATATAACCCAATATCAATCAAGACATTTATTTAAGAATAATCAACATAATCAACTCAATTAATATTTCGAATATGTCAGTTATTCATAACTCAAGCAATATTCGAATATGTCATTTAATCATAATCAAGTAATAATTCAAATAAGAAATTTAATCATAAATCAAGCAATAATTCAAATAAGTCATTTAATCATAACTCAAATCAAGTATTAATATCATTATTAATCATGTTTAAGATTATTTAGTCCATTTAGTGTATAAGGGTAATTGTCAACTAACATATTTAGCACAACATTAATCATAATATGATAATATTCACAACTCAATGACATTCTTCATAATCAAATCAAATAACAATTTTCATTAATAATGTTTAAGTTCATTATATTTAGTGGGAAGAGAACCATGGTAGACCCGGGAAACCCTGCCAGTCTACCCCGTGACCCGGGAAATAACCACTGTTACCAGCCACGTATAATCAAAATTGGCCATAATCAATTCACATCTTCCTAGTGTGCACACCTCTTCCCAAAGTTGCTACTAGTATCCCGAGAAAAAACCACTGTTACCAGATACCACTTTAGGAAGAACGGATACAATCTTTTTCACATCAGTTTCACATCGGAGGCATAAAGCCCAAAAGTTGTGTTCATCACTTTGGAAGGTACCATCCCAAAGCTATCCTCCCACCATTAATTTATTACAAACACACACAATCAGGAAAGATTCAATCATAATTATTTATTCTTTAAGTATTATCATCTCTAAATGAGTTACTCAAGGGCATTATAATTTTCCAAAGTATCATAATTCAAACAACTATTATCATAAATTCTCGAATTTATATAACAATTCAAATCTCCAACATTCATCATAGTAAAATCCAAATCCGATCATCATAATAACTTTCCAATTTATTCAAGGATATGATAATTCAAATCTTCAACAGTCATCACAGTAAAATCCAAATCCGATCATCATCATCACTTTCCAATTTATTCAAGGATATGATAATTCAAATCTTCGACATTCATCACAGTAAAATCCAAATCCGATCATCATCATAACTTTCCAATTTATTCAAGGATTTGATAATTCAAATCTTCAACATTCATCACAATAAAATCCAAATCTGATCCTCATCATAACTTTCCAATTTATTCAAGGATATAATAATTCAAATCTTCAACTTTCATCATAGAAAAATCCAAATCCAATCATCGTCATTCATACAATCACATCACATCAATTATCATAATTATTCAATCATAAAATATGAAAATTCAATCATATCCATTTATTCTCAAAATAAAAATTCTATTATTTTTTTTTCAATAGAAATTTCCTAAATATCACATGTAATAATTCGAATTTAAGAAACGTGATATAAATAATTTCATATAAAACTAACCTAAGAACACCTAGAGATTAGGATTACATATATCAAAATTCATATCAATATAACCTATGACTCTCTAGGGATTAGGATTAGATACACAAAATTTCATAAAATATCCTAATAAGACATAGGGATTAAGATTACTAATAAACTTCAAACAAAATTATAACCTAAGGATTAGGATTACCTGGTCTCCGTTTTCGCTAACTTCTAGAAGAAAAGAGTAATTTGGGACAAAGAACCGGTTGGTAACCAGAAGAATAAAAAACTAAGAAGAGAGAATAGTAGAGGAGAAATGTTGAAGAGTGAATTGGTTTGGTTAGGCTAGACCTCTATTTATAGTTAAAGGTTTGGGCTCAGATATGAGTTTCGTGCATTTATTTCCTTTTTCTTTATTGATGTATCTGACTCAGATATGGGCTTCATACACTATTTTATTATTAATTTCTTATGGCTCAGATTACAACTAACTTATTAGCTAACTCAAGGCTGACTCATTATTGACTCATCATATCTAATCAAATTACCAATCACCATTAACAATCAATCATTACCAATCAAACATTACCAATCAATCATTACCAATCGAACATTATCAATCGAACATTATCAATCAATCATTATTAATCAATCATTATCAATCAAACATTACCAATCAAACATAAATGCTTAAATCATCAATCAATTAATAATCCAATTAATTATAATTTATCATCTAATATATATATATATATATACATATATATATACATATTAATATTATGTTATTATAAATAATTTAGAGTATTACAAAGTATCAAAATTATTTTCCAATAGCACTCATATCGCACAAAATAATTTTATCCAAAATAAAATTAATATTCTACTTTGTTATCTATCACCATAATATTTATTTATATATATCTATATTATTATTACTACTAATTTATAGTTTATTATTATTATTATTTTATTAATAAAAATATGGGATATTACAACATGTCTAGGCTATTTTTGTTTTGTGTTTTAGTTTTTAACTTTCTAAACATAAAACATAGAAAACACTTGTTTTCTAATTATTCTATAAAACGGATACCAAAAAAAATAAAAAAAATAAATTATTCTATAAAACAGTTTTAAAAACAAAAAATTCAGAACACAATTAAACAGGCCCAATATGATGTTCTGATTTTTTGTTATTAAAACTATTTTGTAGAATACTTATGGTACTTTGGTCATTGTCCCCACTCCTCTACTGTCTGTTTTGGTTCTTAAAAGTTAAAAACCAAAATAGAAAATAAAAATAATCAAGACATATTCTTGAAATTTGATTATAAAAATAAAGAAGTAGTTATAATTTGTAACTTTTTTTTTACAAAATAATTTTTTTGATAATTTTTAAAAACAATTATCAATTAGAGCCCTTGTATAATTATCATGTCCCTCTCAGATCTAGAGGTGACAAAGTGGGTGACCCGTCCCATTTCGCTGTCAACCCGTCAAAAAATGAGTCAGCCTGTCTTGCCCCATTCTGTTTTTAGGATTGGGTTGAAAAACTCTGTCCGTTCCGCCCCGTTTAACGGGTTGAACGGGTTGTCCGAGCTTATTTTATACTGACCCGCCTCAGCCCGTTATCAACCTGTTAAAAAACAATTCTGTTTCGACCCGCCTCATTTTTAGTTGATGGGGCGGATTGACCCATTAAATCGAACCTGTTTTGCAGACTGTGCATTTCTCATGTCAGGTACCTGCGTCGCTGTTTGCAAGGACCCCAAGAATTTGCAAACGGAGATGTTGAAATCCCACACGATTGAGGAGGTGGTCTTCTTTTTGCATCTTCCCCCCTCTTCTGTTATAAATTTTGGGAACTATTTAATGTTGTGCTCGATTCGTTTATTTTTTATTTTATTTTTGTAAGTGAGATGATTTTGATGTTGACGTTGCTTTCAACTTTACAAGGATAATATTATTTTTCTTTTATGATTTTAAGAGATTATCACCCTTTTAAATGCCCTTGTTTATTTTGTTACATTAACATAGGTCGAGTTAGTCGCTGGATAGCTGAGCTTCTGTTGGTTGTTTTGTGTTGTGTGTAAGAAAAACAGGCTGAGCCATCAAAAACTGTGCTCAGGATGGGTCCCACCATTTTTTGTCTCTACAGCAACAGACAAAATCAGTAAAGGAGAAAATCAAACAAATACAGTAGTTCAGGAACAAACGTAATTCAAAAGGAAGAAGAAAAAAAAAGCAAAAACAAAAGAAGAAAACTCAACTCGCTATTTTCATCAGCCGCCGAAACCTTGTTGTTCTGTTCTGCTCCATCATCAATGGCTTCCTCTATTGTTGCTCCGTCATCCACATCCTTCAATGGTTTCCCCATCAAGGTTGGTTGGTTGGTTGGTTCTTCCCTTCATTTCCACCGCTTTTACACTACCAAAACCAACACAACGAATCTCATTCTCATGTTTTTCGTGGTGCATAAACTCGTTTTTCTTCACCCCTTTTGTCCAAAGGGGTTAACTTTGCACCAACTCATGGACTTTTCTGCTTTTCCTTGTCTCTCAGAAGGATCAGGGTCTCTCTGCTTTCTGTTACAGTTCTTCTCAGCGATGCCAGAAACCGGTTTCCAGGAGAATCTGTTGTTCTGTTGCTGCACCGCAGCAATCGCAGCGCCAGCCTTCTACCACTGGATCAGTTCTGTTGCTATGTTTTTTGGTTACCCTTTTGGATTTTTGTGTTGTTTTTGAGTTCTTGTTGTTTATGGAGGCTTGTTTGATGGGTTTCAGCTGAAGACCGCCATGACCATGACTGAGAAGATATTTGCTAGAGCTTCCGAGAAGGCCCAGTTGAGCCCTGGGGATAATGTTTGGGTTAATGTTGATGTTTTGATGACACATGATGTGTGTGGCCCTGGTTCTATTGGGATTTTCAAGAGGGAGTTTGGTGAGGATGCCAAGGTAAATTGGTTTTGCTGTTACTCAATGTCTCATTTTGGAACTTTTGTTTCTGGTGCTTGTATACTTATTTAGGATTATTCATTGAGCTGCTGTGTGAAAATTCATTATATGTGATTGGATTGGATGGCTGGTGGAATTGTAGAGATCGATTTTAGGTAATTTGGAGAAGGATGAGTTGTGATAGTTGTTGAAGAGAATAGGATCAGGTTCATGTAATGGAATTTATTTGAAGAACAATGCGAATAATAGTTGATGTTTATCAAAAGTAATTATCTGCTTTCTGTTTGAGAGTTTTGTCAATTTTGAAGTCATGTGAGTGAGTGGTGCTAGTGTAATTCTTATATCTAAAAGGGGATATACAATGACAGTTTTTTCCTTTTTTCTTGGGAAGTGACTTCAAAATAAATTTGCTGGTTTAATTGTGCACTTGTTCATGTCCATGACATATATGTTTGATCCTTTTACCTTGAAAGTTGTCTGTACATAACTGCATATCGAATAGCATGTGTAGAATAATTATTTTGGGTTGACTACTTATACTTATGTGGCTCATTGAAAGATTTAGGATTGTAATTTTCTAAGATTGCTTGTCAGTCATTCTCCTTATATGCTAAGACCTAAGTTTTGTAATTTCCTGCTTGCATTGTTCCTTTGAAGGTTTGGGACCGTGAAAAGGTTGTAATAATACCTGACCACTATATATTCACAAGTGATGAACGTGCCAATCGCAATGTAGACATATTAAGAGATTTCTGCCACGAGCAGAATATCAAGTACTTTTATGATATCAAGGATCTTAGCAATTTTAAGGTATGCATTCTTTTGATTTATTCAATATTAGTTTGGTCCTTTCAATTCTTAAAGAGCATTGTAATGCACAATATCCGTGGACATTGAATGTGGGATTTTAACAATGCAGGCAAATCCAGACTACAAAGGTGTTTGCCATGTTGCTCTTGCTCAGGAAGGTCATTGTAGGCCTGGAGAGGTTTGATTAATTTAACAAGTTATTTGAAAGGATAGTCAAGTATTGTTCATTTGTTTTATAGAATTTTGGTTTCTGCTTTGCTAATCCGATTCTGGTTGTCTCCAGGTTCTCTTAGGTACTGATTCTCACACTTGTACTGCTGGAGCATTTGGTCAATTTGCTACAGGGATTGGTATTACCGATGCTGGTTTTGTGTTGGGAACAGGGAAGCTTCTGCTCAAGGTAAATGTTATGTTTCACTGAGGTCTATGATGCTGTTGTTAAGAGACTATATTTTGTTTCTTTTTGCTATGAGAACTTGAGCTCTCTGCCACTATTGTATTCTCTTATTACAGAAGATGGCTTTAAAAGTGTACCATTTAGGTCCTTTCTCTCTTTCTTCATTGTACCTATCTTTTGTACTTTTTCAGCATTTTCAGTTTTAGAGAGCATATATCACACTCATCACTGTTTTTGATCATTGTTTCATCTACATAAAAAATTAGCTAAAAACTTAGCAAAAATAAATGCAACTAAGATTCAGAATGTTTAAAAACATAGTATGACCACTCTTGCTCCTTGTCCATCCAAAGATTACATTTCTAAGCCTCCAAAATCTGATATCTATGCCTTGGGGGCCTCTGTTTTGTGTTTTTCCGGTGTACTTTCTCCCACAGTGCATTTTTCCCCCCATAGGTTTTGTTGTTCATCTCCTTTAGCCATCTCAGCACTATCTTAAGAGAAGTCACAGTAAAATACCATATCCAAATGCAAGAATAACTACATGAGAAGCAAATCATCATGTGCCAATGGCACTGCATAAAAAACAATCCCCTTACGAGCCCAACAATATAGAACATCTTGGTACCTTAAATAAAGTGGAGGTAGATCGGACCAATGGAACAAGATAGTTACAAAATAACTCCTTTGCTTGAAACAGTTCCCTTTTTGGCCAGTATTGTTGAAAATTCCTGTCCCTTTCTTTTCAGTCACTCTCAAATATCAATTGCATAATTACGTGTGAAAAGCCACCCAATTTCTATGATCTACAAATTATTTAGACCCGCTGGGATCTGGGAATAACTATGTCAAGGTCACATGTAGATAAATCTGTCTTCTGTAGTCTGTAGACAGATCTGCAATTTTCTTTTGGATGGTGGCTAGGTTTCCAACCCGAAACCAGCTATAGATACCCATAGAAGACAGGGAGAGAGAGTTCGCTAAAATTATTGGGGTCACTGATCTGACTGATTAGGCTCTATGTATCTTTATGCATAAACTAGGGTTACAACTTACAAGAGCATTGGCCCAGTACACAGCCCCAACACTTATATCATTAACACTCGTCCTCTTAAGTCTTAATACTGTAGTAGCATTTAACTGCTCCTCTGTCAGTGGGTTTTCTTTTGGGTGGGGGGAGGGAGGGACAGGGTTGCATTGTCATTTGTGAAGGCTCATACCTATAGTTTTTAATGGAAGATATGTTGTGAAATCATTATATTTTTTACCTTTTATTACCCACTCCAGCCTAAGGCTTTTTATATGGCGGTTTTAAACTCAAATAGGCTTGATTTATATTAATTTTTGCTTGTAATTTTATTTTGCTTTTATTAGCTTGGCAACCAGCTAATTTGCATTTTGTTGTTTACTTGATTCTCTCTCTCTCTTAATCTGTCTTTAATATTCTTATATTTGAAACAACATATTCTAGGTTTTTATTGTTAGCCATTTTCCATGGGCAGCTTTTATATATTACTGAGAGTTAACTACTCATTTCTAGAGAAAAAAATTGGTGATAGTGTGAGAGCAAAATAAGAGAAGCAGATATTAATGAGGATTTTCTTGAAACTTTTGGGACTAGAGCAAAGCTGGAAAAGTACCTTTTAATAATTGTTTTCTACATATATTTAATTTGAATGCAGGTGCCTCCAACTCTGAGATTTGTAATGGATGGAGAAATGCCAAATTATTTGCTTGCAAAGGATTTGATTTTGCAAGTAAGTATCCTTGATCCTGTACTTCTGTTTCTGTAGGACGTATCATAGTCATATGGTAACCATGCGTTGTCTGATTAGCTTATTTGAATGTAACAAATATAAAAATTACATCCTTACATGAATGCATGATGTACCTTACAGATTATTGGTGAAATAAGTATGGCTGGTGCAACATATAAATCTATGGAGTTTGTTGGCTCAACTGTTGAGAGTTTAAGTGTAAGTATGTTCAGCAATATGTTATGCTATGATGTAGCTCTCAATGTTTCTTCAATCTCTGAACTCTTTATTTTGATTATAAATGTTGTTTTGGCATTTTGTCCCTCTTGGGTAGATGGAAGAGCGGATGACATTGTGCAACATGGTTGTTGAAGCTGGGGGAAAGAATGGTGTTGTTCCTGCTGATAGCACTACATATAAATATCTTGAGGTTTGTGCAAATAAGCTGGTGCACTGAATTTGATGTCTTGCCTCTGAAGTTATATGTATATGTTTGCATTTTGCATTAACTTTTCTTATTTCTCTTGCTGGAATTTTTTTAATAAAAAATTGTGTTAGCATTTTGACATTATTAGAATATTTAGTAAGTATCTCATAATATCTTTGTATCTTAGAGAATAAGTCAGAGTATCATAGATGATTTCTTAGGAGTGATGTACATATTTCATTATATTTCTTAATTTTTTTCCTTATTGATTAGGAGCGGGAGTCTAGTATGTACTTGTTCAAATTGGGGTTGGTGCTTTGTATGTTGTATCATGTCATAATACACCATATCAATTTAATATCATCCTTCCATATGTAAACCCTATAATTCCAACATGGTATCAGTGTAGTATCATCTTCTGTCACTATTCGACTGTTGATATCTTTAAAATTTGGAATTCTTTTGTTTGTCAAGTAAAACAAATCATATCTGTTGGAAAACCAATCAAAGAATTTCATTATATCCTATTTTTCCTTTCTATTGGCCATGACAAATTACAACCATCAAAACTCTAGACCTATGTCATTTTCTATCTCCTCTTTTTCTCTTTTCTGCAATTGTGGGTATCAGATCTACCCTCGTCCGTGGAACTTTTCATCTCACTGCCACTGCCATCAACCCTGGTGTGTCCAAATTAGCCGGGGCCTAAAATTGCACCACCACCTGAGCTCCGACACACTGCCATGTGCTGCCTGGCTAAATCTGACCAGCCTTGCTCCTTTTGGGCATGTAAGGATGTATCTGGCAATTGCTCTGACAGCTGTTTTGCGTACTTGACTCGTCTTCTCCTCTTTATAGACCTGATCTCACCTCATCCATTTTACCACCCTTTCTCTAGCAGCCATGTCTCCTTTCATAGCTACCATCTTAGATCTGTATGTCCTATTTTTTCTAGCGTGCATGAGAGGGTGAGACGCTGTCTTTCTTTCACCTTTGTTGTTAAGAGAAAAGGATATGAAGACGAGAGAAGAAAGGAGAGAAGCCATTAAAGTGTTTCTGAAGATCTTATTCACTAACTAAAAGAGATACACAGAGAGAGCTCTATTTATAGAGCTGGAAGCTTACTCAGCAATTAATAACAGCTCGTGACAGCCTGTAACACACTAACCAATCATAGAACTAATCAGGTGTAGCACACACCTTGATATAACGAATACAACAGTAGACAGATACAGATAATAAACTAATCCACAAAGCATTTTATATGCTAATATGCCCCCTCAAACTCATGAGTTGTGGAGATGAAGAATATCCAGAACTCTGAGTTTGTTTCTCAGCTCAGCAAATCTGGGTGCAGACAATGGCTTGGTGAGGGTGTCAGCAAGCTGGAGGGAAGCAGAAACAGGAGATACCACAAGATCTTTTGATAACACACGCTCTCTGACAAAGAAAATGTCCAGCTCCATGTGCTTAGTACGGGAATGCAGAACAGGATTATGAGACAAAGCAACAGTGTTGAGATTGTCACAATAAATCTGAGGAGTAGCCAACGAGATGTGAAGCTCACGAAGACGGGACTGAATCCATAAAATTTCTGCAGAAGCAATGGCTAAGCTCCTGTATTCATCCTCAGTATTGGATCTGGCTACCAGTGTCTGCTTTTTGGACCACCATGACACTAAGTTTGGACCAAGAAAGAGACAAGCACCGGATGTAGACTTGCGATCATCTGGATCAGTTGCCCAATCAGCATCACAACATGCTGTCAAAGAGAGAGGACAGTGGGTAGATGCTAGCTGAAGCAAGAGCCCATATGAAACAGTCCCCTGAAGGTACCTTAGGATGCGTTTAACAACATTCCAATGGTCAAGTAAAGGCTGAGACATGAACTGGCACACCTTGTTGACAGCAAAGCTGAGTAATTGTCGCATATTGTAATGCACCCACAATGGATCTGTAGTGGTTGAGCCATGCTTGGTCAACTTGCAACTAGTAGCCATAGGTGAGGCAATACTCTTAGCATCTGACATATTTGTTCTAGCCAAAAGATCTCAAATGTATTTTGATTGAGATAGAAATATAGAACCAGTAGGATGTCTTTTAACTTCTATTCCCAGGAAGTATTCTAAGTCACCAAGATCTTTAAGTGCAAATCTTGAATTTAAGGCAGTGATCAGGTTCTGAATAAAGGGAGTGTCATTGCATGTAACAATGATATCATCAACATATATCAAGACATAGATACATCTGTTAGCACCATGAAAAATGAAAAGAGAAGGGTCACAACTGCTAGACCGAAAACCAAGAGTAATCAGCGCCTGTTTTAACTTGTCAAACCAAGCTCTAGGGGCTTGTTTAAGGCCATATAGAGCCTTATGCAGCTTACACACAAGAGTTTTATCAGCAGCCTCAAATCCTGGAGGTTGTTGCATGTAGACATCTTCAATTAGGTCCCCATTGAGAAAGGCATTATTGACATCGAATTGCCTTAATGACCAGCCAAAAGTAAGGGCAAGAGTGAGCGTAATTCTCACTGTTACAGGTCTAACAACAAGAGAGAAGGTTTCTGTATAATCAAAACCTTCCTGTTGATGAAATCCTTTTGCCACAGGGCGAGCCATATACTTATTGATGGTCCCATCTGGATTCTCCTTCACTTTAAATACCCACTTGCACCCAATAGCCTTCCTATGAGATGGAAGAGGAACTAGAGTCCAAGTGTGGTTAGTTTTTAAAGCATGAAGATTCAAATTTTGTCAGGTTCTATTATCATCACAAGGGTGTCTAGTATTCTATCTTGGGTAGTCTTACTTAGTATTTAGTAGTGCCTATATTGTGTTTTTCTTTTTCATCCTATTGGTTTCGGATAGTTAATCTTGCCTGCTGAATATGCCATCTCATGAAGTGTTGCTGTGTTGACATAGTGGCTTTGTTTGTGTGATTCACCATGAATGGTGCTTTCCCTTTGTATATTGTGCCCATGTCTTGGCCAGCATCGATTTTAATGTTGTTTCCATTTCTTTTGCAGGGTAAGACATCTGTGGCATATGAACCAGTTTATAGTGACCAGCAAGCAAGGTAGTTATAGTTTTCAAATTTCTTCTTGTTTTCCCCCTATTATATTCAATGTTTAGGAAAAGTCAATGCTCCATGTATCACCTCTTATATAAAATGCCATAATGCTAGTAGAAATAGATGCTGACAAATATTTGTCATCGAGGAAAGACCCTTTGGTGTCGCTTGTAATTATTAAATTTTCAATGTGGGTATAGTATAATTGCAGTTTTTGTTACTCAAATTCTCTCATCATTAATCAACTAAAAAAAACTTAAACGAATATCAAGAAGGAATCTATATTTGCTAGCCATTCATGGGAGAAACAGCTTGGGTAGCATGTTGACTTTGGGGATTATATAATGAAAATATTCCATTTTGTCAGGATGGTATGGTACTCATGAAGAAAGTATAACATAGACCATTTACTTACCCTTCTCTTTTGGTGTGTTAGAGAAGTAATATATAGAACCATTAAAGTGGGTCTTACTTAACAGATTGAGCTTTTGGGTAAAATTAGTTCTTTATACGAGCCTCCGTGACCAAGTGGTAACAAAATTGATCATCATCGCCCTCCTTTCTATTAATAAATAATTAAATATTGTAGAGTATCTTAGAATAGGTAGGCTGGACCTATGCATTGTCTACCCTTCAAATCCAATGGTCTATTGCGTGAGGGCGTGTTAGCTGCTTCATGGTCATGATGATATATTGAACATAGCTTGCTTCAAAGATCAAGTTACAATTATCTCCTTGGATTGTCATGTTGCATATGATTTCAATTTATCAAACCAAGCTTATCTGCATGATTTTTGTTTGTTACCAAAATTAGATTTTAGCATACATCTCTTATACATTTATCACGGCGAAGGAACACAATGTCTGCGATGCTTATAGTGGAGAAAAACTGGATGTTACAACTGAAATATTAAGATCCATTGGTAATCAGTTTTGTCCATTACTAATATTTATTTATTTATTTTTGGCATTTAGATTTCTTTCTGAATATAGATTTGATGTCTCAAAATTGGAGCCTCTGGTGGCCAAGGTTTGTCCTTTAATTGCATTTCTAGTGAGGTTTTATTCTGTGTTTAATTTTCAAGCAGCTATATGTTGTTATTATCTGATGCTGCCACTATGTTTTACAGCTAATATAATGCTTATAATTGTTGCAGCCTCATTCTCCAGATAACCGTTCTTTGGCAAGAGAGTGCAAGGATGTGAAAATTGACAGAGTATATATAGGATCTTGTACAGGTGGAAAAACCGAGGATTTCATGGCTGCAGCAAAAGTTTTTCTAGCATCAGTAAGCATCATCTTTTTATAATCTTATAAAAGATGTTGGACTTTAGTTTTGTTAAGATTATTGGCAGCTTTTCTGGCTGAGTCTTACGACTTCTTTACTATATTTATGTAACCTTACAAGGTTAAATTTACTGCAACATTTGAGTTAGTGTTGCATGACCAATGCTTATCTCAAAATGTGTAAGCCTGGTCTGCATGTTTTCTTGTGTGGTATTTGTTGTAACAGTCCCACATTTGTAATCGCTGTAATTATTGTAAATTATAGTTATTAGGATGGGTCATTAGTTGCCATAGGTCGAGCCTTATTTTAGGAAAGTAATATTTTAGTATAGCCTATATATTGTAAGGTATTGTACAATCTCTGTGTCTTTGATCATGTGGCACCCCTTTCAATAGCATTTAGCGGTGCATTTGGTCGCCATTCAGCCCGCCGTTGGTGTCATTCATCACGTCTCAGCCTTCTCTATCCATATCTACCCTCACTTGGTCTAATCGGTATGTATGGCTGGTCCTTCTTCCAACAAGGGGTGGCACATGGCTGATACACCTGGCTCATACCCACTACCATTATGTTCGACATAGAGAGCCCCATTACTTTATATGTCATGAATCAATTTTCTCAAAAGCTTAAGTTGTTAGGTAAAGCCACCTAAATGGCTTTATATTACATCTCTAACACATCTCCTTAGGCAAGAGCTCTTTAGGTTTGAAGCGTAGACAATGCATAGGCCACCCACCTTGTGCTAGAATTCAATTTTTTATTAGCTCTAAACCACTTGGTTATAGAGGCTTGGGTAACTTGTCATGAACCAATATCATAGGTTAGTTGGTAAGTTGACATACGTCTAGGTCTAGAATATATTGTTATTGTTGTTAGCAAATTCATGCATGATCCAAGGGTGAGACACAGACAATGGATGAAATTGTATAGTATCTCAAGGCTAAACTTGGCAGAGGATCTTTGTTCCGAAAGGGTGGAAATCAATCATGGTAGTATATACAAATGCCAATTATGTTGAGTCAGTTATTGATAGGAGGTCAACCTCTGGTTACTGTATGTTCTTGGTTTGAAATTTAGTGACTTTGAGGAGTAAGAAACAAAATATCACTCGATCAAGTGTAGAGGCTGAGTTTGAGCTAGGGAAGAAAAGAAGTTGGCGAGCTACTATGGATGAAGATTATATTGGATGACCTTAATATTAAAGTATGAAATTTCTATGAAGTTGTTTTGTGACAACAAATCAGCCATTAACATTACTCATAATCCGGTTCAGCATAAAAGGACAAAACATATTGAGATAGATTGACATTTTATAAAGTAGAAATTGGATAATGGGTTGATCGCCAAAACATATGTTTCTTTAGGGGTTCAGTTGGTGGATGTGTTAACTAAAGGACTTACTACATAGAAATTTCAGGATCTTAGTGGCAAGTTGGGAATGATAGATATTCAATCATCAGCTTGAAGGGGAGTTTTGTAACATCCCACTTCAGTTACATTTGTAATCATTATAATTGATGTAAATTATTTTATTATTATGATGGGTCATCAGTTGAGGTAGATTGAATCTTATTTTAGGAAAGTAATTATTTAATTTAGCTTATATACTGTATTGTATTGTACAGTTTTTTAATCAATTTAGAAATAATATTCAGTCTGTATTCATTCAAGTGTATTTCATCTAGCATTGTAGCATTTACTCCGTTTTATGGAATGTACTATGCTTTTTATGACATATTTGATTCTATATCTCCTGCTAATCTTGCAACTGTTTGCCCTAATGAAGAACTTGATATCTGCACCTGCAGGCTAAAAAGGTCAAAGTTCCCACATTTCTTGTGCCTGCAACACAGAAGGTCTGAACATATTTTAATATTTATATATCTTTGTATCAGTTAATTTACAGTTATTGAAGTTAGAATATCTAGAGGATATCTCACAATATCATGATTATATGTTATAGAATAGTTCAGAGTATCTTAGATGATCTCTTAGAAATAATTTCCATATTTGTTTATATTCCATGATTTGTTTCCTTATTGAACTAGGATTAGGAGTTTTTCATTAACATAAATAAAATTTGGTGCTTTGTCTTTTGTACAGATGAATGCTTTCTAACATATCTCTGTAAATGGAATTTCAGGTATGGATGGACATGTATAGCATCCCAGTCCCTGGATCTGGTGGTAAGACTTGCTCACAGATATTTGAAGAAGCTGGGTGTGACACACCTGCTAGTCCTACTTGTGGTGCTTGTATGGGTGGCCCTAGAGATACTCATGCACGCTTGAATGAACCTCAGGCAAGTTCCTTGCTTTCTGTCTGAGCATCTTGTAATGTACAATTATAAAAGTAGCTCAAATTCCATCTTGTAATATACATTGAAAGTAACTGCTAATATTGGCATTGACATGTTAACATCAAAAAAATAACTTTATCCCAAACTAGTTGGGGTCAGTGGAAAGATAATCTGATTACATCAGGAAATTTGTTCATTCCTACATAGTTGTATGACATTATAAAGAACCAATTCAACCCAAAACCTTAAGGTATTGGGTGAAGGCTTTTTTAATGGTTTATATTATTCTCTAACACACCCCCTCACGTAAGAGTCATTTGGGCTTGAAACGTAGATATTGCATAGGCTCATTTTTTGTTTATTTTTGGTTTTACCTTATGCTTATTTAATTCCACAAGTAGGGAGCGGGGAGGATCGAATTCGTGACCTTATGGTCACTGAAGCTCTGATACCATATAAAGAACCACTTCAACCAAAAAAACCTTAAGATATTATTCCCTAACACACCCCCTCACGCAAGAGCCCTTTGGGTTTGGAGCGTGGATATTGCACAGGCCCAATTTTTGGTTTATCTTGTGCTTATTTAATTTCACTAGAAAATGGGAGCTCTGAGGATCGAATTCGTGACCTTATAGTCACTAAAGCTTTGATACCATGTAAAGAACTAATTCAACCCAAAACCTTAAGATGTTGAGTGAATGTTTTTTTAATGGTTTATATTATTATCTAACAGACATGAAATGGAATGGTTTATATTTAAGAAAACTAGTTGAATCTTTTAAGTGATGAAAACCATCAGCAAGTGAAAGCAACCTTTTCTTTGTAATTAATAAGAGTTGTGGTGCCCTTCTTAATGTCTCACTTGGGTAGCTATTTTAACATATTATAATTTGTATTTGTAATTTTATACTTCATTGGTAGTTAATTTAAAAACAGAATTCTGTAAAAGAAAATTAAATTCCTAAGAAGTAGGAAGTGGTTTCTGCTTGGACATAAGGAAAAAGGGTTGGGTGAGAATGGAGTTAGCAGTGTAGATGGTTATCTAATAAATTTTATTAATAAAGTGAAAGACCATGGGGAGTGTGCTCTTTTTATAATATTATGGGATGCAATCATTGTCTTGGTAGGTCAATAGATTTTTTTAGAATATAAAGATGTATGGTTCTGAATGTTGAAGCATGCAGCATTCTTATTATTTAATACATGGTGAATGGCTCCTTCCCTGCCATATGATTGTTTTTATAAGAAATGGATCCTCTCGAGTGACATGAGATAACATGAGAGGATATTAGTCGTCCACGTACAAATCAACGGTGATAAGAGAAACCATCAGGATAAAGGGTAAGAAAATAATTTGTATCTGGACGGCTGATACCCTCTCACTTGACCTCATGTCACATAAGAGAAGATTCATTCCAGTATTTATATGCTTTCTACACAAGGGATGAGATTGTGAGTATGAATAATTAACTCAAATGCTAATGGGGTGGTTGTGCAGGTTTGTGTTTCAACTACAAATAGGAACTTCCCTGGCCGAATGGGGCACAAGGAAGGTCAAATATATTTGGCTTCCCCATATACAGCTGCAGCATCTGCATTGACTGGTCATGTTACTGATCCAAGAGAGTTCTTGCTCTAGCTTGTTATTTCAAAAACCCCATTGTATGAGCGCTTTTTTGGTGTTCCGGGAGCACCATACTCCCTCCTAAAAATAGAAAAAGAAAGGGATAAGAGGAAATTATTAAAAAAGGGAGGGATTTAAATAAAATCACTTTTTTTCATTTTGGAAAAAGGGGAGTACCCACACGGACCACAATAAAAAAAATCCCCGTTGTATCATATATATACCTTAAGATAAAACTGTAAGCTATTAAAGTTGTGACCAATGTATCTGTATTTTTGTTCCATGAATAAATTCTCTGTGACTTTTAATGAATTGGTGCTCACTGTATTATTCACTGTCTTGTATTAAATGTTACTGCAGTAAGACAATTGAGGTAATTTGTTTTGTTACTTGCAGAAGTTGTTCTATTTATTTAGTTCTTGCTTGCAATTTTTCCTTCATACGTTTAACATTGCTATTTGATGACGAAATAGTGGAGTGCACGTTGCTTTGTTATATATATGAGTTTTTCTTAACACTCTTAAAAATATTCATCTTACTAATTAATACACTTAAAAAAAAAATTACAATCACAAAAAATATTGTACATTTTATTGCATAAATTGACAAAAATCTATCTTACCCGTAAATCAATTCATCACAAATAGTTAAGTTGTACAAATACAATTAAGCAAAGCTCTATTTCAGTAGCTCAAATCAATTCAAATATGAAGTTTATTAATTTTTAACAGAATTTAATGAATAACCAAAAAATGTAATATACTTTTTAACCAGCTTTACATGAGAGTGAAATGAATGAATATCATGAATTTCTTTTATCAATGAATTTTTTTTTCTTATTGTAACATAATGTGTTCTATTGCCATAAGCAAGCCAAGATATAATTTGGAAATGGAATCTGAAATTCGTTGGAAAAACAAAAGATTATATTAAAAAATAAAGAATTAGGTTAAAATGCAAAAAAAATGAAGCAAATACTGAGTTTAGTCCATTCCCACTTAACATTCTCAATCTTCACGTTCAACTGGACATGCATGCATCCAAGTGATGGAACTCAATCTGCGTCCTCTTTTCATAGGAAGCTTTCATTGTCCACCGTCCGAGACCGGCGGTGCCGGTCCTTCTTTCTGTCACCGCCACAAACGATGGAGCATTCAACACCACAAATAACACTAAAGCAAGAGAACAAGCCATTTCCTTTGCCACCATCTGTGTGCCTACGTGAATGCTTCCCTTTCTTGTTGGACGCCGGCAAGGTTGAAATCTCGCTGCCATCATACACCGGTGGTAGCTCTGTCTGCCACCTTTCCACCTTAGGCTGCAAACCTTCCACGCTTTCATCCAAGCTCCACCCTCCCACGGTGGAATTCTCCCCCTCCTCCACCACCGGCTGTCTTGCCATGGCCGCTGCCACCTCTGAAGCTGATGGACCTAGCTCGGAGTCCGTCATGACAGGACGATGACCCATATTTGACCTATATGGAGTGCCATATTCCAAATCTGCGTTTCCCTTTGCGAAGGGGAACACATGCAATGGAGTGGCTCTCACTCCATCTTTATGTATATAATTATTATGCAATGGAGTAGCTCTCACTTGGTCTTTATGTCTATAAGTAGTATGCAATGGAGTGCCTCTTACTTCATCTTTATGAATATAAGTATTGTGCAATGGAGTTGCTCTTACTTCATCTTTATGCATATAAGTAGTATGCAATGGTGTGGCTCTCACTTCATCTTTATGCATATAAGTAGTATGCAATGGTGTGACTCTCACATCATCTTTATGCACATAAGTAGTATGCAATGGTGTGGCTCTCACATCATCCGTATGAACATAAGTGTTATGCAATGGAGTTGCTCTCACTTCATTTTTATGTATATAAGTACTATGTAACGGAGTGGCCCTCACTCCATTTTTATGCAATGGAGTGTTTTGAAACTGTGGCTTTGGTGACGCCTTAACTTCATAATCAACTTGTTGCATGGCGTTGGAATGGCTTGATGAACCTTGAGCCATCAAGTTTTTATTTTTTTTCTCTAATTTATCCTTCTTTGGGGTTGCATTGACATTTGAGCCACTCAATTTGGAGCTACCCTTTTTCTTTTTGCTATTTGTGCTTACTTCAGAAGGGGTAACTACGGAACTTGCTTTGCCCTTTTTAGCTTTGACTCGCAGCTCGTGAGCCACAGCTTCCGAGCCGATCATTGAGCTTGTGTCACTCTTCGTGCGTCGAAGCTCCGGCTTGGCTTCATGGCTGAGCTGACTTTGATGATCATGAGAATATCCAATGGCTGGGGTGTTGTCATGTGTGTAGAGAGGCATGCTCCGCATGGAGCTATCAATTATCGCCACACCAACATTTAAAATCCCTTTTGGGCGACCTGAGGGCCGTCGAACTTGGAGCCCCACAAACTGCAAACCCACGGGTTTTTGGTAAGGTCGCGATGATGGTGGTGGAAGGATGTCGCTGGCAAGGACATTGGTTGTGCCCACATGGATGTCCTTAAACCAATGAATGGCATAGATATCAATGAAAATTGTGGATGTGTCGTCATACAAGAAGTCCTCATCAACTCGGAAGACAAATTTATCATTCCAAGTCGGGTTATTGCCGCCTTCGGAATCAACTCGGGTGGATAGCTTACGGTCTGGGTCAATCCATGCAACTGCATAGGTCCTCATGGATCGGCCCACCAAAGTCAAGTCTTGTGCGGATATGACATTGAGTTCCAAGAGTTGGTAACATGCTAAAATGTTAGACATGTTACTATTGTTAATGATGATGATGAAATTGCATGAAAATGAGAGAAACGGAAATGCGAGCTTTGAATTGGAGAGCTTGAAATTATTGTTGTTTGAGCTAGTGATAATGAAATTGCAACCAGAAGAGGGAATAATGAAAACGAAAGAATTTGTGCTAGATCTTTGTTATTTATGCTTTAATGCCTTTATGAGCATTGGAAAGAAGGAAAGGGTTTGGTGAGTGCGTTTCATGAAGACGGAGAAGAGAGGGAAATAAGGCATTTTGATGATGAAGAGAGAATAATTTTGCAATAAAGACAACGAATCAAAAGGAGGATTGAATAGTTTTCAACCCTTAATTTAGTCCCTTATTTTCGGTGATGATATGGAAAATTCTGTTTCTTTTGATTTCAGTCTATGTTAGGATTTTTTGTTGGTAATTAAAGCTATGTTGCAAGACTTGCAACTGTGTCAATACAAAGCATACATACATACCTATTTTAGAATGTCACAAGTTTCCGAGACTTAGTTAGGGTTTATAATCTTTGTGTAATTCTGATATATATAGTAAACATCACTATGTACAGCTATGGATTTACTAAATAGAGAGCTCCATAAAATGACGACATTTTAAGCTGAAATGTACCTGAAAATATAACAGTTTTGATTTATCTAGGCTAATATAAAATGTACCTTAATTAAGTCCTACTATTATATATTAATGCTTAATTGTTATAATTTATGGATGCATTAGGAGAGAGATTTAAGATCTTCTTAAGGAATTTGAGCTTCTATTTTTTAGAATAACTGCGTTATTGGTTTTGATAAATTTTGAGAGAAATATATATATATATATATATATATATGTGTGTGTGTGTGTTTTTTTCATTTCAATACCTTTTTTTTTTAATAAAATTTGAATTATAAACTGTTTTGAATATAAATAAATTAATCCAAACACAGTTCTCTTTCGACCTTGCATATCATGCGTCTGGATTATATAATTCAAAACATTGTTAACTTTTCAATGTTGATTATTTATTTTAGTAAATAAAAAAAATATAATAACACAAATGGATTTTTTTTTTATAATTTTATATTAGAAGTAAATTTAACTTCTGTAAATAACAACCCAAATTAGTTCTAAAAAAATTTAGAAGATCATATACCAAATTATCAATAAATTCTTTTATAGTAAATGTTAAAAATGACCTTGCTAAAAATAAATAGCTGACCAATCATTTTTCTAATGATGCACTGCAAACAAACTAATTCTGACATTATAAAAGTGCAGCAATTTTGAATTTTGAAACAACTCCAACTCCAATAAAGCTTATAATTACTAACTGAGCATGTATGTATCTACAAATTACTTTAATTTTAAAAATCAAAGCGTGGGCAATGTATTAACAAAGAAATTGACCCACCAATTACATTTAAGCAAATAGTATCAAACTCTGAAGTACTGTTAACAAAAAATAACAACTAGATTTTAAATTTCAACGGGGGAGTAAACAAATGCCAGATGTTCTAAACACATTTCCAGCTAAACATAAAATTCCTGGAGAAACAAATGAAACAAGAAGCCTGTAGAACAAAATTTATCAGAAACCAAAATATCTCATTCATATTCCCTGAATTGAACATCTTAATTTAATACTTCAAAATTATCAATATTTGGTTTAATCTATTGAAATTGACTATTGGGAGCTGAAATATCTGGACCCAAAATTGGATTCTCTTGCTAAAATATTTTGTTGACTCAGGAAGACTCAGCCAGATTCTGTCCATTTCTTTGTACTTGATGCCCTGAATATCCCCTCTCTTGCCGTGGACTTGGTCTATAGAAACCATTTCCTCTGGGTTTGTTATACTCCCTATCACCACCATCATGGCCACTTCCCCTGCCAAAACTCCTTGAACTGAAACGCCCTCTTGGTGCCTCTGATTGATAGCTACCCCTGCCTCTACCCCGTCCTGTTGATAATACAGTGAAAAACAAGTGTGACAAACAAAACAAACCTGAATAAATGGCTTATAAACAGTTGAATTATGCAGAGAAAAACATGGAGATTTTTGGGAAAAAAAAAGGGGTCACTCATCTGTAGCATAGTCAGTGTCAGCGTCATTATTGATGCACCATAGCAGGTCAGATAGTGTAGACAAAGATCATTTTGAATAGTTTATGATACATAATTAAATGAAGCATGAGGTTAGTTAAATAAAAAATATAACATTTTTTCATCCATATTTCACATGGAAAAGCCACTAAACATTGAAACACAATTAGAACTTGAAGCTATCACATCACCGTAAACCTAATGGGATCCTTATACAAAATTTAGCATATTGAAGCTTAATCTGTAATTGTTCAAAAATGAATGTCACATGAGAATCCACTACTAGTCCCATCAACTCATCCCTCAGTTTTCCAAATTGGCAATACAGATTCATTGTTTTACCACATCTATTTGTCACAAACAGGAGTCAGGGACATTCATGATGAAAATTTTTTGAGAAAAAGAAAAGAAAAGACAGAAGCAAAGTTCAAAATAATAATAGAAAAAGACATACTTCCTCCTCGAGAAGGGATGTTACTGTTTGGTCTCCGCTCTTCAATGTATACTTGTCTTCCTGCTATCTCAACAGATCCAGCCTGCCAAACATACAATACAAACATGACTCTAGTTCGTTATGACCATGTAGTACATTTGATTTTAGTTAGTTCTCTTCGTTCTGGGTTGCAAAGTGGCATTACTATATCATAATTGATGAGTAATACATATCTCAAACTAATCATTTAAAACCAAATCCAAACCTTGACTGCATTATGAACGCCTGTCATATCTTCAAATTCAACAAATGCGTAACAAACTCCAACGTCCTGGATATAAGTGAAAATTATAGATTCATAATGGGATATAAATGTACTAATATTAATATAGTTATTTGAAGGTGTAAAGTCAAACCTTGCGACTTCTTATGACAACACCATCTGGCCTGATTCTACCAAAATTCTTGAATTCATCTTCAATTTCAGAAGGAGACACTGTAGGTGACAAGTTTCTCACATAAACAGATTTTATTTCATCTGAAAGCATTCCCAAGCAAATCAAGATCAGTGGCAGTGACCAATGAATATGTGACAAATACTATACATAACACTTTTAAGGATTCTTTCAAACAAATTAGTTTATTATGCAATGAGCCATGAAAATGTGCTCAATACCAGAAAGTAAATATAAGTAATAAATAAAGGAACCAAATAATTAATCAATTCTCAACAAACACACACAGTAACCTTCATCTTCTGTTGCAGGAAGCTCCTCCACTATATCATACTCAGACCTTTCAAATGCATTTGCCGAAGCAGTTGTTTGCTGACTACTAGTCTGTGGAGCATGGTCCCATTCCGAAGGGTACACATTCTTATGAGAAGGCAGAGACGATACAGATGGAGTGGATTGTCCTTTAGCAACTCGTAACTTCCAACGAACAGCCCATAACATGGTCAGTACTAAAGTCATAATTGAATACCAAAAGAAAAAGTTTTGTGGAAATTAATAGAATGGTTAGTTAGCACATACAATGGAGGCATAAGTGTGCTTTGTTGGCTCCCCAGCAGGTTCATCAGAAGCAGGTACATGGTCTTGCACTGCATTCACTGAAGATTGAAGGGAACCATTTGACTCTTCAACAGTGTTATCCTCCCTCATATGTTCAGAATCAGGGCCTTGATGCATTCGTTGCTCTGAAAATCCATAATTGTCGACTACACCATTTTCTTTGACCTCATTTGTAGTTGTAGCAACAAACTCCCTAGCCTGGATATCTCCACCCAGCAGGTAGTTGGACACTGTAAAATCCATGGCTCTCAATTAATTAAGAGTTAAAGCATTACAGCATCCAGAATCAGTTGAAGCCAAATTGGTTATTTATCTAAATTTCTCAGAAGTAAAAGTTGTTTTATTTATTTCAAAGATATAAAACATTGATCATTGTTAAATCAATAAGGTTTGTCATTAGGACAACTTCCAACTTTACACAATCATTCTATAAAGTAACACTATAACAAAGCACTCGCAACCACAATCTGCATATGGATCTAGGGTTAAGGTTACAACTATTTAATTTCAAGTGCTTGAAATCCATATCCAGATTTATCATTCTACATCTGAGAAAGCTTCAGTTTGTAAGCAGAAAGGATGCAGTTTTTTAAACCAATTTGAGGCAACTGGTGTTTTCTATGTGTTGTCAATGTGCTAATAATGGGTGGTGGCAGTCAACAACTGATAATGATGTAGCAAACACAATTAATGACAAACAAACATGGTATCTGTATAAGCGGCTGAAAAAGATCAGCAGTACCAACAGCAGTTTATAAAAGGGAAAAAAGTTTATGAACTTAACATAGGATTTTTAATTGAACAGGACCGGAATTTAGAAAATTTCTGAGGAAAACAGATGAGAATTTTATTGATAGGGGTAGAAAGAATGATTACAGCAGCTAATACCTAGGAGTTTGAGAGCCTGGTCTCTCCCCACACATTCAATTCTTTTCCCTCGGTGATCTCTTTTCTCTGCCTTGCTTTTCCTTACATCATAACTAAATATTTAGAGAAAAATCATCCAATATTAGGAAATCCTAACTGCTGTATCTAACACTATCCTTTAATATCAAGTAACTTAAATCTAACATATCTAACAATATCAATTAATATCAAGTAACTTAGTCTACTATATCTAATAATATCAATTAATATTATGTAACTCTATCTAATATATATAACAATATCAATTAATATCAAGTAACTCTGTCTACTATATCTAATAATATCAATTAATATTACGTAACTCTATCTAATATATATAACAATATCAATCAAACCTAACTACTATTACTAATAGGGCCTGGCCCATCCTTATTTCTTCTCACATTCACCTTCCTAATTGGCGGCCCACTACTAAAAGATTTTCTGACTAAAATAATTAATAATATATGAACTACAAATTCTCTGAAACTAGAAGAGTACTAAAGAACACATAACTAAGAGTCTCTCACAGACACCAAACAAGATCAGTACCATAATTCACATAAAAGAACAGGTAACACCTGGGGATAGATACATAGTCACAATGACATAACTTCAGAGTTATATCAAGAGAAACAACGTATTACATTTTCTTTATTTTTTAACTGCAACAGGTGGTAATTTTTTAATTCAGGTACAAGAACACAAGCTGACACAGAATTACCTGGCTTATTGATTATGCTCTGAGCATTAACTTTCGAATCAAGATTGCTCTGAGCTAGCAAGACCGCTTGGTGGTGGGGAACTGGATCCTCTTCAACAAAGTGAAAAATATCATTGAGCACAAAAAAGCCTTTTTCTTGGGGTGCCAGGAAGAATGTCTGCATAAATTTCCTCCTTGGGTTGTAGTCCTTAATTTGTACACATCCAGAAACCATCACAAGAACACCACCGCTCCAAGATTCCAGAGATTGTGCTGTCTTGATTTCAATTCCAGTATAACTGAGTGACATAACCAGTTGATGGATTTGCTGCCCACAGAGAAATTTCTTTAATTCTGGGGGGAAATAAGAAGTTTACTATAGTTGTACGTGCATAAACTAGTCCCTTAAATCTATTAAGGAGGTATTAAAATGTAAGGAATCTAAATCAGCTGAGAGAATAACTTATTGTCTTAACTCTGACAAATAAAGTTTTTAATAGAATGCAAAGAGGGTACAAGTACCATCTAAAGATTATAGACTAGAAGCAACCGGGACAGAGTGAATTCATATTCCAAATACTTAGTTTATCATAGTAGTTAGAATCACATTATTCATGAATTGAATCCCATGGTTCAATATGATTTGGCATGCGTGTAATTCGTATCATCATCATGTGATGAATCGGAGATAACTTCAAATTGTGCTGATACATGCATGAATTGGTGCAATTCCATATCACCAACAGTTTGATAATTTTTTCTTTTTTTCTTTTCTATCATCAATTCTCAAAAGAAATCGGAAAGTCAAATAAACTTAAATTTACTAAATGAAAAGGAACTAAAAGAGACTGAATGCACCCTATTTAATTATCCCGTTGACCTATTTTCATTCTTTTGGTACAAGGACTTCACACAATCACTCACTCACTCACTCACTATATATCCTATTTGGCTATTCCATTGCTCTGTTTTCATTTTTTCTAAAACAGAGGTTTCACACATTTACTCACTCACTCACTCACTCACTCTATATGCACCCTGTTGAAAGTTGAAACTTCTCAATCAAAAGAATTCTTTTTCCCACCATAATTTGACATATCATTCCTTTTAGTCAATATAATACTAAGAAGCACGCTACAAAATATACCAACTTATTAACAGTCCTATTCATATTTCATATCCAATTCAGGTCACAAAAAAGTAAAATAAAATAAATCAGTAATCTCAAACCACAAAAAAAAAAAAAAACACAATTGTATTAATCTAAATTGAGAAATTACAAGCATTGCAGTGGCAGTCTCCCTAGCGTTGCCATCAATACGGAGCATAGTGCTAGCATCAGAATAAAACTGGTGCACGAATTCCGGTTGATTCTGAAGCACCTGATAATACTGCCCCACGAAGTAGGTCCCAACCTGAAATAACAAATGAACCAAAACCCAAAAGTCACACAGAGATTATTTGAGATAAAAAAAAAAGCACATAGATTTTGATTCAAAAGAGAGAAGAAAGAAGAACCTGAGCTGCACTGAAGGGAATGGGAAAGGGTGTGGCCATTGAAGGAAAAGGAAAAAGAAAAAGAAAAAGAAAAACCCTTTTTTTAAACCCTAACACCAATTCAGATCCGCAATGGCCACTTTTTAAGATCTACACATCAGATTACAGTTTACAAAGAGAGAGAGAGATATCTGAGAGAGGTTTTAGAAAGAAAGAGAGAGAAAGGGGAAAAGATTTGGTTTTGTTGTTTTGTTTGTGTTTGGCTCTGAAGATGAAGCTGCTCCTGTGCTTTGCCGTGGCCCGTGTGCCCCTTTTCTCCAATAAGCTCCACTCACTCAATTTCAAATTTATAAATAATGGAAAAAAATGTATTATAAAGAGAGAGATAAATATAAATTAGGGAGGAGAAAGTATGGAGAATTTTTTTAATTTAAATTTTAAATAAGACACAGTATTTATCTCTATCTTTCTCTTAAAATGATCTAATTTTGTGTCATTTAAAAAGATATATACTTTTCCTATAAATAAATTAATAAATTTAATTTGGAACTTGCTTTTTTTTCCCTCCCTAATTAGATGGCACAACAACAATTAGATGAAAAAGTCAGGAGACGAATGATGAATGCATTTTCATTCAGATTCGAGCGGGTTGTTCTGAAGCTGAAAACAAATAGAAAATATGGTTAAACAAAAAATTGGGATTTGATAAAAAAGTAACTTTTCCGTTTTCAATTTTTATTAACAAAATAACAAAATTTAACTCTTTCAATGATGGTGAATAACAACCATCATTCTCAATATATGTTAAATAAAGAGTAAATACCACGAAGCCCCTTTTGGTCCTCAACAATAAAAAAGGCTCATTTTGGTCTTTAATTTTACAAAAATAGTGCCACGTTTGTCCTTCTGTTAGTTGGCATCTAACGGCCCAACTAACGGAGCACACGTGGAATATTAGTTTGCTGAGTCACCGTCCAGCGTGGAAGTAATACGACGACGTTTTGACCATGCCTTATGTCTTCTTTGAGTTTTGGACAGCTGACCCTAGCATCGAAGGCCCTATTTGGTCCCTGACAAATTTATCGAGGCCCTATTTGGTCCTTATCACTAAAATAATGGACATGAACATAGAAGTTGCAAGGCATATTGCAGCAAACCACCAACCACAAATGGCCTTATTGCCAAGCATCCTGGACAGTGTAGGAGGACTAATTGTTGTCTCCAATCTAAACAATCTCATATCTCTAGTTTCTTATTCCAAATCCATGATATTCAGAGATGGAGATAACGATGGAGGTGAAGAAGAGAGTAAGCCACTATCTGCATGGAGCAGCATATTCATTTTATCAGGATTATGCCAAATCTATGGGATTCACCATTTCAATCAAAAATATTAGACGCTCAAAGAAAACAAAAGAATTTATCGATGCCAAATTTGCATGCTCTAGGTATGGAGTTACACCTGAGTCTGACAGTGGGAGCAGTCGAAGACCAAGTGTAAAGAAGACAAATTGCAAAGCTTGCATGCATGTGAAGAGAAGGCCGGATGGAAAGTGGATCATTCATGAATTTATAAAGGAACATAATCATGAACTTTTACCAGCTCTGGCATATCATTTTCGGATTCATAGAAATGTGAAATTAGCTGAAAAGAATAACATTGACATCCTGCATGCTGTTAGTGACCGCACCAGAAAGATGTATGTTGAAATGTCTAGGAAATCTGGTGGCTGTCAAAACATTGTGTCTCTCTTGGGTGATGTAAATTATCAGTTTGACAGAGGTCAGTATTTGGCTTTGGATGAGGGAGATGCCCAAATTATGCTTGAGTATTTTAAGCACATTCAAAAAGAGAATCCCAACTTCTTCTATTCTATAGATTTAAATGAAGAGCAACGTTTAAGAAATCTATTTTGGATTGATGCAAAAAGTATCAATGACTATCTCAGTTTTAATGATGTTGTTTCATTTGATACCACTTACATAAAAAGCAATGATAAGTTGTCGTTTGCTTCTTTTGTTGGAGTGAACCATCATTCTCAACCTATATTTCTTTGATGTGCATTGCTTGTAGATGAGACTAAACCAACATTTGTTTGGTTAATGAAGACATGGCTTAGAGTGTAAGAATCCGCACCGTTAATTAAGGAAGTCAATTAATTAATTATGTGAAATTAGGAAATAATTCCATAATTGACCCTAATAATTATTATGAGGCTCTAATAATTATAGTAAGTGATTAAGAATATTGAAAGTCGCTTTTCGAAAGAAAAGTGCAGATACCGGTTCTGATAGTCGGTATAAATGTGTATCGAAAAAGTATTCCAGAAAATTATAATAAGTGCATGATAATTACTAGAATAATATGTAGGACTTGTAAAACGAGTTTCAAGTCAAAATAATAAGAACTGGTGCCAGAAACTGGTACGGGCTATGAAAAGCGCGTACCGGAAAGGTGCTTCGAAAATTATAAGAAAAATATGATAATTCTTGTAAAATTGAGTGGGTTAAGAATCCAAAGTTTGGGATTAAAATGCTAAGCGTAGCAATTAAAGTTAATACTGTGTGTTAAAGGCTTAAGTGACTATAAATGCAACTTATGCACAAAACCCTAGGCCATATTGGCTTCCTACGTGAATGCTCAGCTGCTGAGTGCCTCTTCCTTTGCTGTTCATCCCTTCCTCTTCACCTTGAGAGCCAAGAAGTCATCTTTCTTCTTGGTTTCTTCATCAAACACTTAGTGGAGTGTAGTGTGAGTGGGGAGAGTGCTTTTGTTCTGAGTTTTGTCACTGCTTTGTGAGGTGTGAAGGGCTGAGTTGGTGGTTTTGGTTGTGGGAACCTTGGAGTTGGCTTTTTGAGCTTCAAGGTGTAATCTTTTGGTGCAAGAATCAACCTTTGGTGTGACATTTTCGTGCACCTTCTTGGTCTGCATTGTTGGAGCTGTTTGGAGAGCTCCATGAGCCTTTGCTTTTCTGTTTTGAACCTTGAGTAAGTGGTTCTACCTTTGATCTTGAGTTTAATGGGTTAAAGTTGATGTCTTGGTATGTTTAATGGATTAAACAAGTAACCAACTGTCATATGAACCTAAATGGACCTTAAGATGCATGTTTTAGCTTATGGAAATGTTAAAAATGGAACCTCGGAAGGATATCTTCGCGAAATGCAGAAACTGCATACTGTCGCAAAATATTCGGATATTTGGTCGATAAATATCCGGATATGGATATCCGGATATTGATATCCGGATATGGGGATATGGATATCCGGATATTTCCAGTGAGATATTCAGATATGCCCCCGAGGAATATCCGAATATTCTGGGTTTGCGAGGAACAGTAGCGTACTGTTCATCCAGAACTGATCTATGGGTTTGTGGACCTTAGTTTGAGGAAGTTGAACTTTTGTAATTAATTAATGTAAGTCAGAATCATGTGATTAAGGGCTTATGGCTTGGTGAGAAGCCTTAAGACGTAAAACGTAATGAAAAGACGTTGTCTTAATATTGTATGCTTGCGGTGCATGTTTATTGATATATTATTGGTCCATAATAGATTGTGAATCTGTTGTGTTTGGACTTTGAGCTGTGGACTCTTGGCTTTGGGTGTTAGCTTGCAAGGTAAGCTTTCGTGTCCTCGGTTTAGCCATGTTGTGGTTCCACCATGTCCCATGGGGGTGTGGTTATATGCATGTTGTGTTACATGCTTTGGATATTTGAAATGCTTTTGAGCTGATATGTGCAATGCCTTATAATATGTATGTGTTGTTTCTACTTAGTCGGTAAGCCTGAGTATGTGGTGTTATACAAGATGGTGAGTCTGTGGGGTGGGTGCAAGTAGCATCTTGCATATTGTGTGGGTAATAGACGTATTCCTGCATTTCTCTGATCAGTAGAATAGAATTGACACACATGACATGATTATCTGCTGCATTGCACTGTTTTAGAAATGATATTGATGAACTGCTTTTAAACTTATATTGCACATGTAAGTGAGCTTGGGGTGGAAGATCCTTGAGGACCCCTTGTCTTACTGAGATTTCTTGTTTAGAGATCTCAGCCCACGTTTGGGGAATGCTTATTTCAGGTTCAGGTAGTTTGGTGACTGATGCCTCTGGCGGCAGGAGGCCAGAGCTTAGCTGATTATGATATTTATGCTGTATTACTGTCATGACTGGATTGGATGCTGTTTATATTTTCTGCTCTTTATGATTTGAGTTGAGACTTATGTTGGGCTTTGTTGCCTTATTTGGGTGAGCATGGGAGTTGTCCATGCCACTATGTTGTTAGTACTTTTGAGTTGAGTTGTATAAACTGATAGTTGGTCCGGTCTACGTGTTGTAGTTCAGTGACTAGAGACATGCATTATGTTGTTTTAATTAATGAGGTATTTCAGTTAGCTGTTTTATTGCAATTGCATACAGGCGATGTTTTATTAATTGATTAATAAGCAAGTTGGTAATGTTAATGACTTCATAATTGAAAAGAAAAAGATATTCCGTATTTTTAATTAAGCGCAGCTTAATACGATAGTATGATAACATTACCGGATATATACGGGGTGTCACATAGAGCGATGGGTGGGCAAGCTCCCAAAGTTATAATCACCGATCAAGACAAGTCCTTGAAGGCATCAATTGAAGAAGTCTTGCCAAATGTACGACATTGCTTTTCTCTTTGGCACGTGCTGGAAAGGATATCTGAAAATCTGTCTTTTGTGATCAAACAGTATAAGAATTTCTTGCCAAAGTTTAACAAGTGCATTTTTAAGTCATGTACAGATGAACAGTTTGACATGAGATGGTGGAAAATGGTCACTAGATTTGAACTCCAAGATGATATATGGTTTCAATCATTGTATGAAGACCGAAAAAAGTGGGTGCCAACTTACATGGAGGATACCTTTTTAGCTGGAATGTCTACACCTCAACGTTCTGAAAGTATTAACTCTTTCTTTGACAAATATATTCATAAGAAAATCACCCTTAAAGAGTTTGTGAAACAATATGGGATAATTCTTCAAAATAAGTATGATGAGGAAGCCATTACAGATTTTGATACATTACACAAATAGCCAACTCTTAAATCTCCTTCACCTTGGGAAAAACAAATGTCAACAGTTTATACTCATGCAATATTTAAGAAATTCCAAGTTGAGCGTCTACTATTTTTGATTGAAGTGGTGAATCCCATAGATTTGGCATAATCCTGATAAAATGAATATGCTGCTCCATGCAGATAGTGGCTTACTCTCTTCACCTCCATCGTTATCTCCAT